GTTTGGTTTTGGTTCTAGGATCTCTGGTGGCACTGTGGCTAAGGCACTGGCCTGCTAACCAAAAGGTTGGTGGTTAGAACCCAGCAGCTGCTCAGTGGTAGAAAGATGATGCAGTCTACTTCCCTAAAGATTTACAGCTTTGGAAGTGCTATAGAGTTTCTATGAGTCAGAATTGACTCAATGACAGAGGGTTTAGACTGGGCTGGTGGCTTATGGGTTAGAAATGACTGGGCTGGTGACTTCTGGTTGACTCTGGTTGTCAGATTTGGTCTTCTCTAAGTCGACATTTGGCTTTAGTTTCCTGGGCCCGTGGAGCAAGGGACACACAGAATTTATAACTGGAAGCCTGAGGTCTGGCTGGCAGAGAGTCCCAGGTGGCTCATGTCTGACTTGGATTTTCTGCAACAAGTGGTCAAGGCCTTTCAGGCTGTCTAGACAGGTAAGGGATTTGTATTTGAAGATGAAACTGCAGACAAGTTTATGGTCCCCTACGTGGGCACAGCCTCTCCTGGGATGGCCACCATCATTAGAAATGAGGGAAAGTAAAGGCGTCTCTGGGTGGTAAAAGCAATTATACGCTTGGCTATTCGCTGAAAGATTGGCAGTTCGAATCCACCCACAGGCACCTTGGAAGACAGGCCTCTTGATCTGCTTTGGAAAGGTCACAGCCTTTAAAACTCTATGGAGCAGATCTGCTTTACACACACAGACGCGCCATGAGTCTGAATGTGCTCCACAGCAACTAAGAACAAAACACCACACAAATGTATTGGTTCATTAAATCCTGCTATGGCACTATGATGTGGATTTTTTATTTCCATTTTGTAGACAAAGAAAACTAAGGTTTAGAAAAGTTGTTCACTCCTTCTTTCATTCAACACGTATTTATTGGATTTAATACGTTGGGGATATAACAGTTAATAAAGCAGACAAAAGTTTCAGCCCCCATCAAACCTATACTCCAGGTGAAACCCAAAGCAGGCAGAGACACAGTAAGTTGCCCTCCCTTTAGACACAGTCTGTTCTTGAATCCAGGCCTATTAGACTTCAGCTATAAAGCTTCTGCTGGTCACCTGGGCGGTATAGATGGTTAAGTACTCAGCTAGTAACCAAAAGGTTGGCAGTTTGAACCCACCCAGAGGTACCTGGGAAGAAAAGACTGAAGATCTATTTCTGAAAGGTCACAACCACTGAAAACCCTATGGAGTGCATTTTACTGTTACATATGCCATCACCGTGAGTCAGAATCAACTCAATGGTAACTTTTTTTTTTTAAAATAAATAAAGCTTCTAGGAAGAAAGGCCTGGGCATCTACTTCTGAAAATCAGCCAGGAAAACCCTGTGGATCACAACGGTTAGAACTGCTCCTGGTCATGGGAATAGTACAGGACAGGCAGCATTTCATCTCATCATGGGTGCTGTTGCCATCAGCTGGGGGCCAACTGCGTGGCAGTAAACAACAAAATAAACCTTCCAGCAAGTGGCCAGTGCTCTATCTATAACAGTCATAGTAGTTCTGAGGTGGCAGCCCTACAAGTTGGGTGATGGGCTTCTCAGGATAGCCAGTAGCCACTGGATCAGTCACCAGCCATGTGACCTCAGCAGACAACCCCCTCTGAGCCTCTGGTTCTAGATCTGTAACAATGGAGAGGATAATATCTGCTCTGTCTGGGAAAAAAAGTCCTTGAAATTATAGCAAGAAATCAAATCACACAGGTGAAAGTAGGTATTCATTATCGGAGTAGTTTTCAAGTAAAATATAAATATAGTGTTATTTTTAAAAATATTGACCGACTTAGCCAGTGGTAAAATTTCCAGCAATCCAGAAAATTTGAAGTTGTGTGTTGGGTAGTTGAGTCAAAGAAATGTGTTATTTGGTTGCCTTTAGAAACATTTAGCTACAACGGGCAGCAAAGGGCAGAGGCACAAAGACATAGACATGTAAGAGCTACTGAGAACAGCTGACTGGAGGGAAGAAAGAATGGGCATTCCCTCGTTCACTCATTGACTATTTACTGGCTGCCAATCAGGTTTGTTTCCTTCATTGCTGTGTCTTCAGTCTCAGAAGAAACTCAAAATGAGTAAAGTAAAAACTATTTTCCCCACCCTCGTACCCAGATGGGAATAGGTAAGTAAACTAAATTATCCCCAACTATTTCCTCACGGGACAGATGAGTATTCAGTTCCTTAAAGAACTGAATGGAAAACATTCTTTCCTGCAGGTAAAAAACACACTAGAAGTGTCTTAGAAACAACTTGTAAATTAACTCTGGCCTGGGGACATGTGCAATAGGGCAGAAAGGAACAAAAGTTAATCACAGACCCTCTCCCCTCTGCCCCAGCCCCTATCAGCTAATGACAGGAAGCTAGTGTGACTCATCCACCTCCGGGAGCAATGGTCACCCATTTCACATTCATGCTCCAAATTTCTCAACCTTTTGTGAATATGAATAACTCCTTTTCCTGAAACCTACAGAAACTGTATTTGATGGCATCTCGAGGAGTCAGATCTGGGTACTGAACTACCCCTACTCCTTGCATTGCCGCTTGGCAACAAATAATTTTCTCTCCTCTCAATCTCGTGTGTAAATTGTTTTGGCCTGACTGTGCACACCGGGCAGGGACCCGCATTTGGTCCTATAACAAACTCACTGGCCTCAAAAGGTTTTACATTCTAATGGGAGATAATATTAAATATGTAGATGCTTATTCATGTTAGTGCTATAAGGGAAAACAAGGCTTGGTGATGGAAGGGGAGTGGCAGGCAGGGAGGAAGACTGTATTAATCAGGATAATCAATGCCAGGTGCTTCAACAAACCAACCCTGCAATCTCAGTGGCTAAGTCTAACAAACGTTTTTTTTCCTTATAAAGTCTGATGGGGGTTGGTGCTTCAGGGACCCAGGCTCCCCCCATATTCTTATGCCATTGTCTGAACACATGACTTCTGGTATCTCCACGGCAGAAGAGAGGCAAGAGCATTCCAGGCACAGAGACCAGCCAAGGCTAAAACCAGAGGCAGAAATGTGCTTGGCTTGATTCAGGAATGGGAAAGAAACTAATTGTGGCCTCTCTTAGTGGAAGAGAGAGTTGGAAAGACAGCCAGGGACCAGGCCACCGAAGACTGCTAAGTGTGAAAATGCAGTTTTCTGTGGCCATTTGGTGTCCTCTGAGGACTTTTCTTTACTAATAAATAATGAAATAGTTGATGGTTATAAAGGTAACTATATAAACTAAATCACGAATAATATATTCCATTTGCTAGAGAAATCTTTTTAAAATGTACCGCTGTCTCTACTTCCATGAGTGCACAGTTAAAAGTTTTCAAATACTTGAGTACATTTTCTAGATAGCCAAGGCCCCTAAAGGGTTCTCCTGCTACTTGGAGCTGCAGGGCCCAGTCATGCCCAGCCTGCTACCATCTTCCTTAAAGCCTGACACCTCTCCAAACACACAAGGCTGAGTATGATTGTAACAGGCATCTTTGCACCGTGCTGAACACTACCTCAGACATCAGTAACAGCTCCTCAAGTTCTGCTCTTCAGACCAGCCCACCCAGTCTGTAGAAAGCATCACCTCAAACTCCGTGAATTCTCACACCTGCAGTAGGCTTTAAATCTCTCATTTCAAAGCCTGAAACACTGCAAGTTTTATGTTACTACAATTAACACTTTAACCTAAAAAGGAATGCCAAAGGAATGTTGTTATGAGATGCCATTAAATCAATTTACAACTCATAGTGACCCCAGGTGTTAGAGTAGAACTGCCACATAGGGTTTTCCAGGCTCTAGTGGCATAGAGCCTAAGGCACATGACTGCTAACCAGAAGGCTGGAGGTTCAAACCCATCAGCCACTCCTTGGAAAGAACACTGGGCAATCTACTGCCATAGAGATACCACCTCAGGAACCCAAAGAAGGGTCGCTGTGAGTTGGCTCTGACTCCACGGCAGTGAGTTGTGTGTGTGTGTGTTTTTTTTTGGGTTTAGTCTATATGGGAGCAGATTGCCAGGTCTTTGTCCGGTGGAGCAGCTGGGTGAGTTTGAACCACCAATCTCTCAGCTAGCAGCTGAGCACCTAACTGGTATACCACCAGGGCTCTTTACCAAACGAATTACCCATTGTTGTCTAATCAACTCCAACTTCCAGGACAGAGTAGAACTACCCCATAGGATTTCCCAGGCTGTAATATCTATGGAAGCCGACTGCCACATCCTTCTCCTGTGGAGTGGCTGGTAGGTTCACACAGCTGACCTTTTGGTCAGCAGCTGAGCACTTAGCCACTGTGTCATTAGGGCCCCTTCCACCAAATGAATAGTAGGGATGAAACAAAATTTATTTATCATAGATAATCTGTTAGATTCTCATGAGTTAACAAGTGAAATAATGTTCCAGGTGTTTCGCTAGTGTTGACTTCACATCTGCGATCACATAAAATGTCAACATTGGGATTCAGTGATTCCTGTTACTTGTTTGAAAATAGTCATAAATCAGAATTTTCAGCTGAGTATGTTATAATTCAGAATTTGACACTGAATTGAATTAAGGTTCTGTGTTAGGGATAAACAGTGGAAGGATTTCAGGTAGAGTAAGTTGGTGGTTTTGTGCAGGATGCTTAAGTTACCACAGCCCTAAAAATAACTGTTTACTCTTCTGGCCTATTTCTCATGTTAGCTTGAAAAGAATCAGAGAGAAGGCTGAAATTAATGACGTATGAATGCAGAACTCCAATTACAGGTGTCTTCACAGGAATGCACAGGAGAAAGATGAGTCAGTCTGCTTTTATAAAGATTTACAGCCTTGAAAACCCTATCCTGCACAGCAGCGGTCACAAGGGGGCAGCGGCGGCCACAGAACTGGGCCAGGCGGTGGGCGGCACGGCTCGACCATCGCTTGCTCTTGCCTGGCACGCGGCTCTCGGTCGTGGATTAGCGCATCTGAGGACGTGGGAGGCCGCGGGCTCCGCCCCCGGCCGCGGTGGCGGCCCAGCGCGGCACTCGGAGCTGCGAGCCGAGCGGCACTGAGGGCGCGACCGGCGGGCCGCAATACCGGGCTGCTCGCTGCCTTCCGGGCTCCCGTCTGCGCGCTAAGGCGCGGGAAATACCGAGGGCTCCTGGGGCGGGCCCCGGGCTCGGGGCGGCGGGAGTGAGGGGCTGCTCGCTAGGGCGCCGGGACCATGGCGTTGCGGGCTCGGGCGCTGTACGACTTCAGGTCGGAGAACCCAGGCGAGATCTCGCTGCGGGAGCACGAGGTGCTGAGCCTGTGCAGCGAGCAGGACATCGAGGGCTGGCTTGAGGGTATCAACAGCCGCGGAGATCGCGGTCTCTTCCCCGCCTCGTACGTACAGGTGATTCGCGCCCCAGAGCCCGGCCCGGCAGGCGACGGCGGCCCGGGCGTCCCAGCCCGCTACGCCAACGTGCCGCCCGGCGGTTTCGAGCCCCTGCCTGCCGCGCCGCCCGCCTCCTTTAAGCCTCCGCCTGACGCCTTTCAGCCGCTGCTGCAAGCACAGCAGACGCCGCCGCCGAGCACCTTCCAGCCGCCTGGCGCGGGCTTCCCGTACGGTGGGGGCGCCCTGCAGCCGTCGCCTCAGCAACTCTACGGTGGCGGCGGCGGCTATCAGGCAAGCCAGGGCAGCGACGATGACTGGGACGATGAGTGGGACGACAGCTCTACTGTGGCTGACGAGCCAGGCGCGCTGGGCAGCGGTGCGTATCCGGACCTCGATGGCTCGTCGTCTGGGGGCGTCGGGGCCGCGGGTCGCTACCGCCTATCGACGCGCTCGGATCTGTCGCTGGGTTCCCGCGGCAGTTCGGCGCCTCCGCACCATTTGCAGCACCACCCGTCAGGGGCCAAGAGCTCAGCCACCGTGAGCCGCAACCTCAACCGATTTTCCACTTTCGTCAAGTCGGGTGGGGAGGCTTTTGTGCTAGGCGAGGCGTCAGGTTTCGTCAAAGACGGGGACAAGCTGTGCGTCGTTCTCGGGCCCTACGGTCCTGAGTGGCAGGAGAACCCGTACCCCTTCCAGTGCACCATCGACGACCCCACCAAACAGACCAAGTTCAAGGGCATGAAGAGTTACATATCCTACAAGTTGGTGCCCACGCACACACAGGTGCCGGTGCACCGACGCTATAAGCACTTCGACTGGCTGTATGCGCGCCTGGCTGAGAAGTTTCCAGTCATCTCCGTGCCCCACCTGCCTGAGAAGCAGGCCACTGGCCGCTTCGAGGAGGACTTCATTTCCAAGCGCCGGAAAGGCCTCATCTGGTGGATGAATCACATGGCCAGCCACCCAGTGCTGGCGCAGTGCGATGTCTTCCAGCACTTCCTGACATGTCCCAGCAGCACCGACGAGAAGGCCTGGAAACAGGGTAAGAGGAAGGCCGAGAAGGATGAGATGGTGGGCGCCAACTTCTTCCTGACTCTGAGCACACCGCCCGCCGCCGCCCTTGACCTGCAGGAAGTAGAGAGCAAGATCGACGGCTTCAAGAGCTTCACCAAGAAGATGGACGACAGCGCACTGCAGCTCAACCACACAGCCAACGAGTTTGCACGCAAACAGGTGACCGGCTTCAAGAAGGAGTATCAGAAGGTGGGCCAGTCTTTTCGTGGCCTCAGCCAGGCTTTCGAGCTGGACCAGCAGGCCTTCTCGGCCGGCCTGAACCAGGCCATCGCCTTCACCGGAGATGCCTACGATGCTATTGGCGAGCTCTTTGCCGACCAGCCCAGGCAGGACCTGGACCCGGTCATGGACCTGTTAGCGCTGTACCAGGGACATCTGGCCAACTTCCCAGACATCATCCATGTTCAGAAAGGTAAAGCTTTTAGAGCAAATGATATCGAATGTAGTTTTCAGGCTAAAAGGGATGGCTTTGACGAAGGTACCACTGCTATTTTCGACTAATCTGTAGGTCTGGCATCAGGGATCTGGAGACCCACTGGTAGCTTCCTCCTTAAAGTACACTTTATGGAAGGTTCTGAGAATACTTTTTATGACGAGTTTGAATAGTTGGGTAATGAGGTCTTGGTATCTGTGATCTTGTGACTAGGATAGAATTAGGGGACTCAAATTGTTAGGCATTTGTTTGAACACTGCAGTGTGGCTTAGTGATAGTTTTCAGGAAGCGTGAAATAAGGGGGAGGAATGGGTGTCTGCGACTAAAGGTAAGTCCTACTTCCACCTTCCACACCTCTCAATCCCTGATTTGGGAGCAGAATTAGATCATTTCACCAGGTGCTGGCTTGTGCAGTTTAAGGACTTCCTACATAGGCTTCTTGCTTGTATGTAACCTTTGTGAAGAAGAGGTAAAAGACTCATTAATTTGAGGAAGTTTTAAAAACATGAATCTCTGTTACGTTTAATCATTTTCAGTTTGAAGTCTATTAACTGGCCAAAATTAAGACTATTGGTTAGGAAAATGGTGTAGGAAAGCTAGTAGAATGTATAGAATCTGAACAGTGTATCTGGATCCCAGTGGGTTAGCGGTTCAGCTGTCATAGTTTGTTTTATTATTAGTTATTAGTATCTCCGACTTTTGTTAGGGGAGCCTTGGTGCTGCAGTGATGGTTAAGCATCCAGCTGCTAACAGCAGGCTTGGTGGTTGGAGCCCGCCCAGCCACTCCATGGAGAAAGACCTGGTGATCTGCTCCTGTAAAGATTATAGCCTAGAAAACTCTATGGGACAGTTCTGCTCTGTGCTGTGGCATCACTGTGAGTCAGAATTGACTCAGTGGCATCTAACCACAACTTTTGTTAAAGCATTGAAATTTCTAGGTTATTTACTTACGAAATAGGTTAGTAATCCTTGGCCTAACTTTTCTCACTAATTTGCATTCTGATGTAATGCCTTGACTGAGAGAATGGGAAAGTGTGAGATTTAGGTAGGTGGGTGGTCTTGCCTGTGAAAGTCTTTTGACCAGTGTGGGGGCAGAGTGGGAAGAGGGAGTCATTTAATTCTTGCTCTGGTAGAAACCTCCTGGGTCATCAACCTGCCCCTTCCCTGATGTGCTTACTGCCTCGCCAGGTGAACCAGTCCATTGGGAACAATTCTGGTCTTTGACAAGTTCTCCCTAGCACTGAACTCAAATTTGCTTCTCTTGCTTCTCTTACTGTCTACAGAAACTACACAAAATAAGTCTATTCCATCCACACGTCAGTCCTTCAGACATTTGGAGACAGCAGTCCCTCTTCCTTCTCCTTCTAAGTGTATGACTAGTCTCCTGACTCTTACTATGGGGGTGGGGGAGCGCCTTCACACATCTTGAGTATGTTAATCCTAAGAATGCAGTACCCCGAAACATCTGCAGCACAAACTTTAGTAAAGAATAGTAGCTTTCTTGGCAGCTTAAAATTTGTAAACATAATTAGCTTTTTGAGGGACCACATCACTGTTGGCATGTATTGAGCCTGCTTCTACATTTTTTTTTTTTTTTACATGAATTGCTCTAAATCCTTGACTTCTTGGCTACTGCTGGTGGTACTGATTTTTTTGAGCCTTTAATTTAGGACTTTACATTTAAATTCCATTGTATTCCATGGAATTTAAATGTATCCAGAAGCATGCTGGCTGCCTTTTTCGTATTTCTGTGAGTTCATGCAAATTGTTGGTAAATAGTTGACAGTGGGCAGTGTCTGGTGTAGAACCCTGCAGCCAAACTCAATTCATTCATTGGTTTTACGGTCATTCAGGCCAAACAAAAACCAAACCAAATTCACTGCCATCAAGTTGATTCCAACTCATAGTGATCCCGATTGGGTTTCCATAGCTGTAAATCTTTATAGAAGCAGGCTACCTCATCTTTCTAACACAGAGCAGCTCGTAGGTTTGAACCACTGATCTTTTGGTTAACAGCCAAATAAATGCCTTAACCACTGAACCCCAGAGCTCCTTGTCATTCAGGTCATGTACACAAAAAAAATACAATGGCAGCCTTTTTCAAGTGTCCTGCTGTTGAAATTATTAGGGAAAGTATGGCATCTGTCTTAAGATCTACTTTGAGTTTACTGTTATGGTCCACTTTGTCCATGAAACCATCCAGTTTATTTTAAAAAGAAAAAAAAAACAAAACTCTAGAACTGAAATTAACACCCATTGCTTAGGATTTGACAAATCTCTTTCATTAAAACCACCATTTTATGTTATTTAAACAGATTCAAGAATATTAAACAGTCTCTAGGAACTTCTCGAAAGGAAGATGGGGCAATCTACTTCCGTAGTGATACTGCCTCGGAAACCCAAGGAGGGGGTCGCTATGAGTTGGGTCCGACTTGATGGCAAATAACAACAACAGGAACTTCAGAAAGAACACCAGTTGATCCTCAATATAGTTTGTTTCTGCTGTAGCCTTGGTGTGTAATGTTCAGGGAGCTAATGTCCCTAGATGACACATCTTTACAATGGACTGCCATTTAAAGCTGCAGCATGCAGCATGTGAGGCATTAGCATTTGTTTACAGCCAGTATTTATGAAGGATGCTAGTGTGGGTGATTTTTAGGAATAAAGATGAGATGAATATCAAACTAGGCTAAAACTTTTTGAGCATGCTCAGGACTGCGGTCATAAAGGGCAGTTCCACTGTGTTCTCTCTGACGTATGCAGTTGCTCTTGGAAGGAATCTTCTTTAGTCTGAGCACTCGGGATTTTGTTTAGAGGTTTTTTGTTTTTTTTTTATCTTTTCAGGCCTCAGAGCAAAATCACATCAAAGGTCTTGCAGTGACTTGAGAAGGAAACAAATAAATAAAAACCTGTAAGCAATTTAAACAATTTTTTGTTGTAGGTATTTGGTCTAAAGTCTGTATTGCAGTGTAGGTGATGGTGGTTGTTAATGTGCCGTTGAGTTGGACCCTACTCACAGTGACCCCTCTTTGGGTTTCCGAGGCAGTATCACTACGGAAGTAGATTGCCCCATCTTCCTTGCGAGGAGTGGCTGGTGGGTTTGAACCGCCAGTCTTCTGGTTAGCAGTCAGGTGCCTTAGGCACTATGCTACCAGAGCTGCCTGCAATGTAAGGGGAGATGTAAAACTAAGGAAAAAACAGTCAAAATACTTATTTACCTGTTAAGTTCTCATTGAAGTAAGAAAACAGCAACTCCACTGCTTTTACATTTCTCACGTTCTGTTTTATGAAGTCCACATTTAGATGAGAGAGAGTATGAGTAGGAAGTGCCTTTTAATTACTAAAGCAGTAAAGGAGTGTTAATTAGACGTCCTTCCCCCTTAATTCCTGGGGGAAAGTAAAGGCATGAGGCTCCTGAGCTTTTCGCATCCAGAAGACTGCTGTGGTCAGTCAGCCTGTTGAGCATTTGAGACCTATACTGACCATTACCATAGCTGCGAACCACGTGCGGTTGTTATATTCAAGTGAACTAAAATTACATAAAATTAAAAATGCCGTTTCTCAGCACACTAGCCGTAATTTCAGCTGCTTTTTAAGACCTAAAGACTGCCGTAGTGGACAGCAAGATAAAGAACATTTCCGTCATCAAAGAAAGTTCTGTTGGACCTCATTGTGCTAGCCAGTTGGCTGTCATTGTCAACCCTGTCATAAGTTTTCCAGCATATTGATTATCTATTAGCATACTTTGCACAAAGTTATCACATGGCCTCTCCTTCTTCCTATCTAGTAGGCTAAAATAGTAGAAACACGGGAAGCAGGTCCTGCTAGATTCCTCTTACAGAACTGCCCAGATACTCTGCCAGTGAGTGTCACAGCACCAGCGCAGTCACCTGCTGTGCAGCCTGTTGTCCTGTCCCAGTCAGAACATACAATTGCTCTCCAAATGGACATCTCAGGCTGGTTAGGAACCAGTTGCAGAATGAGGGGAGAAGGCTGAACTGCTCCAAAGTGTGGTAGCCTGACACTTCTGACCATACTGAGTACGGGCAAACATTACTTAAGCTTAATAAAGGTTTTAGTGTGAGTACTTCCTGTGAAAGTGAAGAAAGAGTTTTATGGTTCCTTCAGCTGAAAGAGAAGCTAGAATTCTGACTTTTTCATTGGATAATGGTATCTTAGATACACAGACCTATTTAGGTTAATAGAGTAGAGTGAAGGAGGAGGTGGTTTGTTGTAGTCTGTAGTACATTAGGAGGGAATTCAGAAACTTTGAATTTCATTCGTATTTTGTTTGATGACTTAACAGGTGCTTTTTAAGTTCTTTCTTCCTAGGCAGCTTATTGATCCCTGCCTAGGCAGCGTGTACTCGTCCGTCACTGACCAGCTTTGTAATTCTGTGATCTCAATTTTGTTTTCGTCAGATGGTAGCATTTTATCTTCTCCCTTCTCCTTGCCTTTATAGTGCTGATGTTGGTGAGTTTGGGATTGCATAAAGCATATATTTCACTATCAGTTTCTTAGCACATGCAATTTTACTTTCAAAGATACCACTTATCACTAATACAAGATTTAATGCAGCTAAATCTGAATGGCAGCAAATCATTGTACTGTAAAAGCTTTAGGCTTATCTCTTGAGGGATTTTATAAAAGGGAAAGACTGTGAAAGTTAGTTTAGGAGAAATGTTGGTTTCATCTTTGTTTATGAATGTGGACTAGATAGCTAGAGGGAATCACTTAAGGTAAAATTCCTTTATTCCAGAGAAATGTTATAAAATCACACAAAAGTGGTTTCTTGGTAAAATGTAGCCTGAGCTTAGTGAAGCAGGAGGAAGGAGCACACCAGCAGTCAGGCAGTCCTGTTCTCTGCACTCTGAACTATACAGAGGCTCCTCCATTGCTCTCAGCAAATGTTCCAGATGGCACCGCCTTTGCAATGAAAAATAGCCCCAGGAGTTTAGGAATGGTTCACCAGTAATGGG